TCAGTTTACGTAACATTCTAATGGGAGTACCGGGTCCACGATATAATTCCTTGGGAAACTGAATTTCTTCTTGACTCGATAACTCGCGACGAACACGTGGAGAATGATGGCTATCGTATTAGAAATTTGAAACAATTTTATCGCGGAAAAGTCTGCCATCGAGCAGAGAATTGGCAGGATTACGATACGCATTTTCGTACATTGTTCCCCGAGGTTGAAGGCATTGAAAGAAGTTTGCGAAACGTTAAACATCGAGTCGTAAAGTTTGTAATAGCCTGTCAAATCGTGAACGCCCATTAAATTCCATTTTCCCCGCTGTTGGGTCGCGAATAACGCTTTAATAGTTCGCTAGCAGGACTGTAATCGACCGAGCTTTATTAAACACACATTTTTCCCTTCCACTACTTTGCAAATCCAATTAAAACGAACACTGTTTGCCCGACCTCGAGCCACGTTTAACGATACTTGAACAATTGTGGTGAAAAATTAAGGCGATATTCGTGTACTACAACTTCAAACTAACCACTAGTTTTTCCACTAATTTCGACTAATTATATAATACAAATTCCAAGCTTATCTACCAATTATAGCTTTTAACGTCGAAGAATTCCAACTCCGTAATTTAAGACATACTCTACTAAGAAAATTATGTTTTCCGCATCGACTGTGGTATAAATTAGAATAATGGTACAGTTAGATCAAACGGCGAATTAGTCTGCGACTAATTTTACTAATTTTTGTTGGTCCAGGCTAAGAAAACGCGCAGTTTCGGGAAGTTACGACGAATCAACCCTACGCACGGAGGTCTATGCCCTGTCTGTGTCTCTCTGAATCGATTTTAGGCGCGTGGACCACCATAGGCGTATACACCCCGTGCACAAAGCGATGGGAGGCGAGCCACCGTCTGCACTCGGCCGCGAACCGTATAAATTCTTTCGAAACGACGCACGACTATCCCCGATTCACCTGCATCTCGATAATGGGCGAATCGAGCGGAAAACTGCGCCAACTCGATCCCACGAGCAACTGCAGTTGCCTGGAAGAGCGAGAAAAGTCGGGAAATAGATCCTAGAAACGAAAAGAGACGACCTGGTACGGTATTTATGCGTACAAATCCGTTTTAAATCGACCAAAAGCATCGTATATAAAGGATTAAAGAAGAACTAAAAATCTCGCGAATCTTGTACGAGATAATTTGTGAGTGATCGTGAAAAATTGAGATTGCAAGCTGGTCTGTCCAATAGGAAATTGGTACAAGCCTGTGTTTACACGACTAATACCGACGAATAGAAATTGAAGATTTATTTAAGATTAGAAACTTCTAATCTTGAAATTGAAAATTTATCAAAGATACAAAAGCCTATTAGATCACGCTTTAGATGAACTAATAGCGAAAGATAGCGAATATATTTGATCATAATAGTTTCGATTATTTAACGTTTCATTGGAGATTATCAATTTGCTAGATTCGTTTCCATGGATCTCGAAAATATACCTGTCTACTATCAAATGTGCTCGCACTGGATGCAAACGATCAGAGAAAAGTGAACCTCCGAATTACAATAGTACAATTGTGCCTGCGAATACGTTATCAACAGCTACACACGTTATACGACTGATAAGGGAGATAGTTGATGGTGGAAGTCAACGAACCAGGTAGGTGGGATAAGTTTTATCTTATCCAGATGTATGCCTACTGGTGTTGATCTCCTCCATCCGAATATTCGTATTCATCTGTTTGAACATCTCCGAGGAGAGTTACGCGCATTAAGTAACACCGTGCATGTTAACAAGCACGTTGATTACTTTCGAGATAAAATAACAAAACAGTCGAGTAGTGTCTAAATTGCGAATCATCGAATCTCGATTGATTTTACATCCTTTCGAAAATTACAAATTCTTTGTTACTTTCGTCCCACTCTACTTCTACCACTCCAACTCCGATTTCGCTCTACCAGAACGAACCATTTTCACCGTCGCCAAAGAAAAGAGGAAATAAAATTTACGTTTGACCACGAACGAAAGAAACGGATGAAATAACGGCAAGCAAACCCTCTGTATGCTTATATCCTTTCCCGCTCGTACGTTAACGTTATTTCCAATTTTCCCTGTTCCACCTGTTTCTCAACGCTATCCATATTAATTTCTACCCTTCGGGGTTGAACATTTCTGTAGATACAGTTTCAAGATCCGCCGTTGAAACGCGAGCAGAGGGTAGAAGCATAACGGAGACGTATCGCGAAACGATGAAACAGAGCAATAAAAGTAAGTAGTCGTATAGCCTGAGGTTTTAGCCGTTCGAGTTCGATGAATTGAGCCGTTGTTTGCGAAAGTGCGTCCATAGTTGCGCTCGAAGCACCCTCAGAGGCACCCTCAGAAGCGTCGAAGCACGCATCATCGACGAAGGTACTTCCACGATCGTCCTTCAGTCTTTTTTCAACCTCTTGCAACAGAATTGCACCTCATGCAACATGAATGTTTAACACGTAAATATCGGTCGGTGTTCGAGAGCGAACATTTGAAAATTTGAAATGTTGATTATTCGAATGTACAGATAGATGTTATACCTGCGTTGTACTCATGGCGGAAGTTACTCAGGGCATTATTATCCAAATTCAACGGTTAGCAGGGCATCCATGCAACGAGTAGCGAGTTCTACGTCACGTGACCACTAGAAGAACGATAAACGTTAGTGGGCGTCATAGGGTTAGGCTAGAATATCGTGTAGTATTTGAATTAATTATAACGAGCGTGAACGAAAGGGCTAGTTACGGCTATTTCCTTAACGAGACAATTTAGACAAGACTGGTTAAATATGTTATAAATATTTAAGTTTACCGCTGACATCCGAGGAGGTTTATGAGACGAGGATGGAATTATTAGAATACTGGTGGTTGTGGCGCGCGCCGCGCCTACGTTTTCCTTTTGCGTAGAACGCAAGAGCAAAGGGACGTTCGATCACTGAAACACGCCAAATGCGTGAAACTCGCGTAGGTTCTAATATTTTTGCGCCACCTACGTGTAGAAACGGGTTTCCGCGGAGTACGAGCACCAGACCATTCACTTTTGCGATGTTAGAATCGAAGATTATCGACATTGTTAATTACAATGTTTATTTCGTGAATCTCTGCTAGGTGGAGGTACAGTCGAAGTCTCAAGGTCAACTCCACTTTTTCTTTCTCTTGAATATTATGCATCGTACGATATTTTCAATAAAAAAATAAAGCTCATGCAGGAAGAATACTAAGTTAGTAATTTAATACTAAACTAAGCGTTGTGTGGGCGACCGAAATAGTAAGTCAATGTTATTCCATTTTATCAGATAACCTGCATACGTTGAGTCCTTCCTATGAATGAAAGCATTGACGTATATACATACATATGTACACGTATCACTTGTAATTATGATTATTGCGACGAAAATTCTGATACTTACCGAAATGAATTTTTAGAAATGATTTGAAGCTGTAAAAAGAATTGCAGTCTGAAGAAATTACGGTGCCGCTTATGCCTACAGAAGCCACTAGCAAATAAATCGTTGTTTCGAATTTAGATGAAACAGTACGAAACGGAAAAATAAAAATAAAAATTGAAAACATTCGCAACCCTACATACACTTGTTTGAATTCTTACTTACATGCATGCAAACGTGTTTAAACTATACTAGCAGGTTTCATTTTTGAAATGAACGCGACCTCTAATGGCGACACATTAATCGTCGTTATAATACAGTCACGTGACCCCTTTTCAGCTACTACGCGAAATTATGCCGAATATCTTCTTTCTCGATGCAAAAATATAGTTTCATATTATATGCATAAATGATTTGCATAACGTAAGACGAATACGCATATTTTTAGATTAAAGCATGTAATTGTGTCACTACTTTTAGACACATACTAAAAAAATATGAAACATTCAGAATTCAATTGTCAAACGCTAGATTCTATGTGCTCTATGACTGAGCGAAATGAATATCAAAAATAAAAACGAACACTTATTTGTGATACATTTTACGAGGATATGATCGAGAATTCTATTATCGACTGTCACTGTAATCGCTTAACGAAAACGTTAACGAAAAGCTACCTGTCCACATGCGCTTCGCTTCGAATGTAATGAATTCTATATGACAATAGCTTGATATAGTAACATCGAGCTACTTGTATATGATGATACAAGGCAGGCAGTGTGTATGATTAACAGCATTTTCATTTATGGACAAATAATGATATATAAATCACATTCATTTCATGCACGTGTCAATAATCGTAATTAAATCACGAATAACCTAAATACTTCGCGTCTCGTTGCAATCAAATGACAAAAATTATTGGAGAATATTCCGTAACGATTGCGTACAAAGTACTTTTTGATTGCTTGTAATTAATAAACGATTACTTGCCTTGAGTCATATGAGTCTACTTTTCTAAGTACAGTGAGTTTCAAGTTCCGAAAATCATTTCTTGAGCACACGCGTCTTGAACCAAAATGTACAATAGTGAAAGAAACGATGTATATCGATTTTACAGAATCTTGTCAAAGAATACGTATACACTTATCCAAACAAACAAAAGTTTAATATAAAAAATTCACACGAAAACTGGACGAACCGTAACACCTGTTGCATTGAAAAGCACAAACTGGAATGTATGACACGAATTTTATTGTTTTACATCTGGTGGCGCATTGTGCGCCATCTGATAGTATATTTTTGTACAACAAAAATATTTTCTTATCGACATAATCCTGTCCATGTATTATTTAAACAAAATTTAAAAATTTACAAAATATATCTAGGAAATAAATATAAAAAATAATTAAAAAATTTGATCTAGTACATTGTAAGAATAAAATCGTATAACAACATATGTATAACTATGAATTTTAAACAGAATATTTTTATATTTATACATATAAAAATAGACATAAATAAGCTGAAAATGCAGTTTTTATGAAATTTAATTTACCAACATATTTATTTGCATAATTATATATTTCTACGGACATGTGTCAATACAAATCCAATCAGACGATTGTAGATGTCTTGATGTAGATGAGATATTCATATATGGTATATGCCAATGATTTCCCTGTTTCTCAATAATTGAATCGACAGATCTGTCTGAATATAGTTTTATCCAGTTTCCATTTGCATTTATAACATAATGATGTAAAAATTGCCACTTTTTAAATAGAATATTTAGCACAGTGCTTTCAAAATTAAATTTATTTCGCATGAAATCATTTGAAAGAACTTTGGTATTTCTTCCGCTTAAAAATGCTGCATACATTATAAACGCATCATCATTGGACCTAAGAATTAAAAACAATATACTTTAAGTATAAATAAATAAAAATACAAAAGCAATAAAATGAACAACAAATAAATAAATTACAATAACATATTTTATATATGTATGTAATACATACCAATTTTGAACAATGTAATAATCAGTTTTATATTGCTGAGATAATTCCCTTAAATAAGTACCTACGTGTTTCCTCCCAATTAGAAGTACTTTTTGTTTCATTGCTGCAAGTTTCTTAATAACCTTACAGTAAAAGAAGAAACATTAATTTCTTAATAATCATTAATATTCTGCTGATAATATAAAGTATTGATTATTTAAATATTAGTTACACTTTTAAATAAACTATTAAAATGTTTACCATAATCAAGTGCTGTTGTTTATGTTGTTTAGAATATAACAAATTTAAAGTATCTACAACAATGTCATATGGTTTGCGTTTCTCAACAAATGACATAAATTTTGTTGTTTCCTGTGGTTCACTTGCAGCATACAAATGGTTCATAAGAAATCTTTTTGTCCCTTGAAGCAAGTCTTCATAACTATCGTCAGATAATTCGATTTCTAATACATTTTTACCACATATATTACAAATTGATCTGTATGAGAAAATATAAAATAGATGAATAGATATAAAAGGACAAGGAAAAAAAAACAAATGATGTATTATTGTTATTGATAGTTATACTATTGTATTTCAATATTTACAATGTATATTTACATTTATATTTTACCTTGTTACATTTGCCTGGTATGCGTTCCAACCATAATTATTGCATGTCGTCATATATTCAAATGCAACTGTCACAGAAGGCTTAATACCATATTTTGACCATAATGTAAATATCTTCTGAATTTTTTCACCAAAAGTGGATTCATCTCTTTTACAATGTTTTAAATATGCTAAATTTACATCATCCAAAGTTTTCAAACCCTTTTCCATGCTATTAACTAAATATTTATATCCTAATTCTTCTTGTCCACAATTAAATAAACATGAAATTAAAAAACTATGTCCAGTAGTAATACTCTTGTCATATTTTTCATATTTTTCTATAACCTTAACAGCCTCTTCCCATTTATTCACTTTATTCAAAGCCATAATAAGGGCATTGGTTATGTTTGCATCAAATGATTTATATTTATTCATAAAATCATTATATATACTTAAAATATCTTTTTTTTCTACTTCTGTAATATCATCATTTTTCCATTTATATAATTCCAAATATTTAATTGTAGTAAATATTTCAAGTTTATAATTGTTATTCTTCAAATATTTATAATAAGCTATTCCAGCATTTGGACCAATCTTCTGACGCAAAACACTTAAAATAGTGAAATCAACAGTTGTTGGTTTATGTTGCGTTATCATATATTCTCTGAAAGTCTTCCATCTTTTATTTGAGATATTAATATCTTCTTCTAATAAAAGGTGAGAACTTTGGAGTATGTTATTCCACAGCTCTTTCATCTGGTTTACGCTGGTACACATATGTGGATTCTGAATTTTTATATGTGTCAATAATTTATTATATACCAAATATGAAAACATTTTAACAAGTATGGTATAGATTTATTTAAATTTAATGGGAAATATATATATATATATATAATTTTCACTGTAAACTTTCCTTTTAACACGTGTAGTCTTTTACAGTTTCCTAACCCCAAAATGTAATATTTAAGTGAAATAAAGCAACAGCAATATATTTCTATATATACAGAATTTATATTTTTTACTACATATTCATATATATTATTAAAGCAAAAAACAAATCTTGAACATTCACTGTTTTGAGATTTAACTTATATAAATAATTAACTTAAAATATCACACAGTGCAATGGATTAAACAGAAGGAAACGGAAACTGTTATATATGTGACTTCAAGTATATAAGTACTTTCAGTTACAGGTTATTTAAATTTATATTAATAATAAAAAATAATAAAAAAGAAAGAAATACATTTTTATCTTATCATCCAAACAGATTCAAAATTATAAATACGAAATTAAAAGAAAATGAATTTTGTTAAAAAAATAGTTTTTTCACAGTGCTAATTACGGTCAAAAGAGGCTAATCTTTAAATGATAAAACATCAACACTGCACTTCGTTAAAAGTCAAAATTTTCTTGACACGTGTCGCCCACGGTTAGAACGGCACTGTGACTTAACATGAAGTCTGTAATGGCAAACGCTTCCGAAACAATTTATAAAGAGAACTGATAAAACCATATATAGTTCAGTCTCGAGCCTAACGTTCGCACATCTCCAGATGATCGTACGGCCCAGTTTCTCTGTGAACCGCGATCATACGTACTAAAAGTCAAAGAACAGTAAACGAACAAGACGATCGAGAAACGGAGAAGGGGAAAATTTATAAGAAGTTTATCAACAGGTGAACTTGTGCCGAGGTAAGAGAATAAATTGAAATAAATTTATATGATACATATACTTGACAGATATCCGTGATTTCGTGACGGTGACGATAACCTTGAAACAATGACGGAAATCACACGAGACCCTTAGATATACATATATATATATATATACACATAAGTTCCGGAATATGAATGATTTATATGTGCAAATTCATCGTTAACAATACCTTCTAACTTTTTGCACAATGCAAAAACGTTATCTGTTTGTTTTTTTTGCTATTATTTGGAAAATATTTACATTGGAAAAAGAAAATACCATTATTATTACATTAGCGTGGAAAAATAGTCAAAATGGGTACTAAATGATTGTAAATTAAGGACAAATCATGATTTTCAATTTTTAATCGATTTCTTAGATTGATAGCTTAACGATGAAATTTTTTTTCATGTAATACAATCGATGGTCATCGATTTCGGTATATACGATAAATAACCATTTCTCTTATCACGTTACGAAACAATAATAATTACTTTTTTAACTAACGTAGTAGATACGATATTTGTTGAACTATCGATAGTTATTAATTCACGTGATTGTTACTGACGAAGTTGAAAATAAAAAAGAAATACTTTATCTAGACAATTTTACGTAATGTTTTATGTTCAATAATACCCAGAAATCCAAGAAATTATTATTCTTCATCGTAAACAATTGCATCGAAGGAAAAAAGTATTATAACGTACCACGATCCGTTCGAGCAATTTTTAATTCTTTGAGGTTGCAGTAGATAAAGACAGGTTCAAACGGTTCATGATATGACCTCCTTCGGACTATTCTCCTCTCATCTACGGTCAAATTCGATTTACATTCATGATGTTAACACATGTTATCAGCTTCGTGGTATTATACACACTTTTATATACAGAAACTGGAACTTGGATGTAATATAATAATAACTGTAACGTGTAATAGTGGAATATGATTCGTCGATAAAACAGATAATGAAAGTCACTAGTCTGTTGATCTGCTTTTTCGCATTAGTAACGATATTCTACTTAAAAATACCTGTTCAGTTCACCATTAAAAACTCGTTAATCGGAATTTCTTTGCCTCTTACTTAAGCCACGTAATCTAACTTTTCGTAGCTTTGCTTATCGCGAATAGCTTCGCTTACAAACTCGTTAGGTTAATACGCGCTGCGAGATAGCCGATTTATTTCGCTAGAAACATAAATTGCGAACAAAAATTCAAGGCGAAATTCTTCGAAATATCGCGAAATATCGTAACTGCTTTACGTCGTGCTCGAGATAAACCGAAAGAAAGGACAACCAGTCTCCGAAGAAGTGTCGCTACATCTGATAGATACATTTTCAAGCTTTTATATCTTTGTCGTCTATCTTTGCACATTTGATTGTAAAAATTCCATTATGTTTATAAATTCCTAATAACGCGTTTCATTCTAAATATCTCGAAGATAACGGGAGTAAATAACATCAAATCCGAGGTACAAATCAATTGCAGATATAAATTCGAACGAATAATTTTTTTTTCAAAATGGCTGCTCTTCATTTCTTTTTCTTTCATTTTATCTGCCAAGGTTTCCATCACAGTCGAGTGAAAGATCGCCAATCTACGTTTATGGAGAACTACACGTCAGATTCGAGCGACTCGGATTCCAGTAGCAAGTCACTGGACCTGTCCTATCTGATGCTCGACAGCCAATTGCTGAACGATCATTTCGTTAACGCTAATAACCCAGAGCATGTGGACACGTTGCTGCTCCACCAGAATCGCTTGACCAGCATTCCACAGACGATAGTCAGGTTCACGAACCTGAGCTCGTTGGACATATCGAACTGTGGCCTCCATAGTCTGCCGGATTTTCTCGGCGATTGCCCTCTGTCCTGTCTGGTGGCCAAGCACAATAACCTCACGAATGATTCGTTGCCGAAGAACTTCAAGAACTTGTCGAGGCTCAGGGAGCTGCATCTCAGCGGGAACAGGTTGACGGACTTCCCGCAACAGGTTCTCGAGCTAACAGATCTCAAATACCTGTACCTGGGCGGCAATCAGATCACCGAGATCAGCAAAGATGTTTGGAAATTGCAAAAGTACCTTTCAACTCCTTTTTCTCGTCATCCGAGTACACTGTGGATCAAAGATGTGGAATCGTTAGGTGTAGAATTTGAGAATTAAAAGATGAGATTCAGCTAAGAACGTTATTAACCTTGGAAAATCCTCTGGTTGAGGCAGCTACGAGAGAGAGAGAGAGAGAGAGAGAGAGAGAGAGAGAGAGAGAGAGAGAGATCGTTGATATCCATAGCATTAGATAGCACTAGAAATTAGCCAGGGATTCCAAACTTTTGGTCCGTAGTGTACACGCGAAATAACGCAATTGGAAACACGGTAGGAGTACTAGACGAATGGAAATTAATATTGCATTTTATAGCCTGGTAAGAGGAGAGACAGACTAGAGACAAAGAAATTTTGTTCGAAGGTTGCACGTGCTGTCAATGGGAGGGAACAGACTGACGGAAGTGCCGTCCACGTTAGGCGAACTGATGTCCCTCCAGGCGTTGACATTGTGCGACAACATGCTGGAAAGCCTGCCTAGCTCCATAGCGAAGTTGACGAATCTGAAGTCACTGCTGCTTCACAAGAATAAACTGAGGACACTGCCTACCGAGATCATCAGGCTGAAATGTTTGACAGAGGTGGCGTAGCGTTATTCGAGTAACGAGAACACGATGTAAATAGATATTTAGATTCGCGATACTAACTTGATTTGTTCTTCTACGATTGTATTTAGACACGTATGCTCCTATCGCATCTGTAGATCTGTAAATCCACGTAGATTGTTCGTTCTAAACATTATTGCTTTTTCAAATATTTAAATCGATAGATTTTTCCGTTAAATTTCGAGTTGCGATATCAACTCGTTTCGTTCTGCTATAATTGCATTTAGATTCACATGCTTCTGTCACGTCTGTAGCTCCACGTGACTTGTTTGTTCTAAACTTTGATCTTTGTTTAAATATTTAAATCAACGAGTTTCTCCTTGCGATATTAACTCGTTTTGGTCTTCTATAATTGTATATAGATTCGTATTCTCCTGTCGCGTCTGTAGATCCACGTAGCTTATTTGTTCTAAACTTTGCTGCGTTTTCAAATATTTAAATCAATGAATTTCTCCGTTAAATTTGTAGAAAGATGTAAATTTGAAAATACCAAAGAAGATAGGGAGAATCGATTGAAAGTGATAGCGCAAAGTTTCTGTTTATCGTTCCAATTTGACCCGTTTGTTTCTCTTATGTTCATTCAGTTGTCTCTAAGGGACAATCCTCTGGTAGTGAGATTCGTGTCGGACATGACGCACAATCCTCCATCTGTGTTGGAGCTGGCCGCCAGAGTGATCAAGACCAATGACATCCAGTACGACGAGCAGAGTATACCGAGAAACCTGGTGGAGTATCTAAACAGTGGGCATCGTTGCGTCAATTCCAAGTGTAAAGGTCAGTGACTAGGCTCGATTAAAGTTTAAAGTTCAAAGTTCTATCGACTCTACCACCGGCGACATCGATTTTTTCCGTTTTGCAATCGCCGGCACTATCGCCACGGGACCATCGTATCGCTAACGCATGCATGCATTTTTCTTCGCAATTGTTTTCACGTTCGAATCTCATGGAACAAGTTCGACCGTTCGATAAGCTCGCGTTACGCATTTCTCGCGAATTTCGTCCCCCTGCCCTCCTACCTAGCGTTCATTCTCGTTGAATCATTGTCAAGAATTTAAGCACGAAATAGTATCTCGGCATCTCGCGACTCGTTACCACGAATTAAACGTTGCTACGTGTATTTTTGAGTATCTCTTCGTCAAAGAAGAGACTACCCAGCGTATTCCTTTTACAAAGAGATGGTTTCTTTCGCAGGTGTGTTCTTTAACAACAGAGTAGAGCACGTGAAGTTCGTGGATTTCTGTGGCAAGTATCGCCTGCCGTTGCTACAGTATCTTTGCAGCAGGAAATGTATAGAATCGCGCGATGGAGACGAAGTGGTCAGCGGCGCGATGATAAGGAAAGTTCTTCTGGGCTGATTGCTATTATTGGAATTTTCTATCTTCAAGACCTGCAACGTTTTTCGGTCCAATAGCCAAGGAGGTGGAAAATGATCGATCGATCGTCCAATCTTTACAAACTGAACTATCCACGCCATCCACGAATTCTTCGGTAACGTTTCAATATGGCCGCCATGCTTGGTCAGTTGCACTACGAGTACATCGGGCTCAAGATTAGGTAATCGGGCATAGGGCTAACGCGAGAGATTAATAATAATCGGAAAAATAAATCGAGCGCTCGGATAGGAAAAATCGTGAGTTGAAAATTGTAGGCGGGGAAAAAAGGAAGACGTATACGTCGATTATGTCGCTTAATCGTTTCGAGGTTGAATCGTTTGCGAGAATTGCTGTCTTATATACGAATCCCTATATACATGTATATTCGTCACGGACGATTTATAAAATAAATATTTCCGTCGTGTTTCATCTGCTCGTTCGTACTTACTTCACGTCCCCGACCGAGCGGAATCGTCGCTAATGAAAGCGCAGTGTCTGTTAACGTTATCGTTTTATTGTTAAATAAACCACAAAATCTACAATAATAATAATCATATTATCATATAGAGTCTCCGTAGGAACGGAGGTGTTCGATCCTCGCTTAAAACACATCCACTGATTTATTTCTACGATTACCGATTATCGACTATTCTCGTGTGTGAACCGTGTAAAACTGAAAACATCCGACAAGTGAACGGTAGCGAAGCGAATGATGTTACTTAATCATCGTGATTCGTCGGTATAGAGTCGTTTAAGATTCATAGAGAACATCGTTATTTTTTTTTTTTTTTTGCCATTTTTCACTTTTTTTAATAACTCGAAGTAAGTCGGTGACAATCTTCGTGAATATAGCAATATCGTAATAAGAGTTCGCTAGTGTTTTTTTCCATTTTCTTCCATTTTTTTTTTTTCTTTTTTTTCATTAATATCGCATATAGTGTCGCCGTGTTCTGTTAATTACCTATACATACATATGCATATTTATATATATGCGCTCTGTTATTTTATACATTACATACATATATATGTATGTACATGCTTCGGTTTCGTTTGAACGAGTATTCTTTTTGCTCACACGCATCAGGCACTCCGGCTCGCTCGCACACAGCCACACGTTCGTTAATTTTTTTTCTTCTTCTTCTCTTCTCTTTCTCACTTTCTCCCTTTCTCTCGCTTTCTTTCTCTCTTTCTCTCTTCGCGATCCATCACGGATCGGCGCGTTATCTTAACTTAATAACTACGCTACTGCCTTTCTTTTCCGTTTCGTTTCGTTTCTCTCGAATCATCGCACCAACCATATTTGGTACATATCCTCTTTACAGATTATCTATATGTATATTAACACAATTTTCCCTAGTATAGTCGCGAGTAACGGTAACCCTGCCGGCATGGCGTTTACGGTTGTCGGTGTGAACGGTGCTGTCGATGATTAATAGTGCGTTATGGACGTTTTGTTGCTTACTTTACGGGGGTATGTATAGTAAAAACGAGATTGTTACAGTTCACTGAGTCGTTATAGTTATTATCGGGTCAACGAACGGGTGTATGCTCCGATGGCTGCCGACTATAGTCGGCAGACGGATGAAAAGTATATCGGCTGGCCGACTATAGTCGTTGCGCGACAGTTTCGACAGCAAGCACGGAAAATTGACTATAGTCAACAAGATCCTAGATACATACTTCACCGCTGACTATACTCAACTCGTAGTTTAAGTAAGCGTATAATGGCGGCCGACTATAACCGACTGCAGAGTCCGGGGCAAGTACCCGGAGGCCATCGACTATAGCCGACGAGTTAACTTAGGTGAAAGACTTTAGTTCCGGACTATAATCGTCACGGTGAACGATTACAGTCACCGTGCGGATACAGACCAGCGACTATAATCGACTTGCGAGCTACTGCAGTCTGTACGCGTTCACTGCTCCACCCGGCAACGGGTTATAGTCGCTGGAAATAGGTGACTATAACCGGTGACAGCGCAGAGAGATGATCACGGTCGACGTATAGACCTAAAAGAAGAAACTATAGTCAGTGAAAAGCTCCGCGAGACCGTTAGTTATAGTCGACGAGCATTCGATATCCGTGACTATTCACGATTCGCGGACTTAAGCTGACGACTATAGCAGGCAGCCATACCGGCAGGGATTAAACGCACGTTCCACAGACGACTGTGTGTGTTTCTCATCGGCGTCGTTACATGACTATAATCGCCCCGCACTGACGAATGACCGTATAGTCACTTTCGTTCCTCTTCCTCGTTCCACTGCTCCCGTTCTTTCGCCGTTCCTTCGCGTTTCTTACTTCGTTCACGGGCCACCTATCGCTCCGTCGCAATCTTCCGCCATAGTCCATCACGTGACCGAACCAAGTACCGAAAGTCTCCGATAGAGAGCGATAGAGTCGGGGAAGAGGATCGCATAGAACGATCGACTACGACTCTTCCGAACGGAACTTTATTCCCGCGTGAATACCACGCGAAATTACAAACTGATCGCATTCGGAAAATCGAATAACGGCCGGCCCGAGTATCATGGAACTCGGATATCGTTCGACAGGATTGAAAAAGAAAGAACTTTACAAGAATAACGCGGACGATTCACGCTGAGGACGTGCCGCCGTTCCACACCAAGGAACATTTTCTTCCATGGAACGCGAGAAACTAACAATGGTCGATTCTGTCGGGCCAGGGATATGCACTTCTGACGAGGATGTCCTATAGTCATGGTACTATAAGCGATTTCTTCAAGCGTACACGGGATACACGGGAGAAACAAAGGTTCGTACAAAAGGCGATCTCGAAGGGACAGAATCGCGCTAGAGATAGCACGTGCGCGGCTCCATCTATATCTCCGCTATACACGTATCGTAGAAACGAGAGATATTACCGCTTACGTTACCGCTTATATTGCCACTGTTGCTTTTTTTTCTCTTTTTTTTGGTCACTTTTTAATCCATTTTTTTTCGCGAAAAATATCTCGACCCTATCTCCTCCTTGTCTCTCGGGAAATCGCTGTCTTTAAACCGCGAAAATAGTAGAAGTGTCTTTAAATATCGATCGTCAGCGATGGTGTACTCTGCTTTTCGCAAATTTCTCCCTTGTCGGTTTTGTCGCTTCTTACCTTATGTGGTGGTAAAACGCGAGAGAGTGGTACGGACAGAAACGCTAGTGGTGCAAAAGTAAAAAGCTTATAAAAATTCGATCGTGTGTCGTAAGGTCCGCCTCTAAAATTCATTTTCTAAAAAATCTCGAAGACTCGGTTTCGTCGGGTTCGCCTTTCTCCGTATTTCTCCTCGAAACTGTGGTCGGAAACGCGTTACGTTTCCGCGACTCGAAGATGGGCACTGTTACAGTCTCATCCACTGTTCCCTATGTACATGTACGATTTCGCGCGATCGAGATCGAAAATACGCGCTGATCGAGTCTTAAGACTATGAATCTAGTTGTACAGATGTGACTTGCAATCACGCGGGTACATACGTTCTCGAAGATGGACCAGAGAAGGAGCAACGTCTAGATTAGTCGCTGTAGGTTAGGATGAAGTATAAGCTCTGCCACTGCGATCGACTACTTACTCGCTATAGCGTGATACAATTTTATTATCCGTTCGGAAAGCATACGCTCTTATGGAAACGACAGAATTCGTTCGCGAAATTAATCGAGCTCTCAGATCGATCAGGTGTATCGGGAACGATATACCGTGAGATTTTTGTCGATGGGAAAGTAAGAAAATGGCGCGAGAATGTTCGGCCGATAGTGTCGCGCCTATCGGCGAGATTGGTAAACGTCCGAACTTACATAGTCGATTCGCCGTCACTCTTTCGATCCAACTTGTCCGTAATTATTCGTAACAGAAGGTGTTCGTGACAAACGTAAGAGACACTTTGCAGAACATCAATTTTCCAGGATTACAGAGAGTACTGATACAATTAAACCTGCGTAACGCGTGAAGTTTAATACGAAATTTTTATTGCGTCGTTTGTTCAAATTTTACATGCATGTGGAAACGAAGTTGCTCGTAAAAAGAAAAAGAAAAAGGAATACATTCTCTTTTCGTCTACGATTACTCGAACCAATTAAAAACGTAAGCAAATGCGATTCGTTTATTTATTGACGAATTTCGTATTAAATTAATCACTATTATAATTTAAAAACATGTCTTAGAAATATCGTTAGATATTCTCTAATTATATATCGTATAGAAATATCTCCGCAACGAAACGAACTTACAGATACGGTATTTTTTCTTTTTTTTTTTTTTCCTTTTTCGAGTGATTAGTTCACTCGTCGCTATATAGTTCTACGATACGAAGAACAAAGAAAACGGTACAAATCTGGAAATGATCGTAACAATAAACTACAACTCATCGTAATTCAAGCGTTTGCTGTTCATCAAGCGTACAATATCGGACATATACAGTGCTTACTATGCTACTTCAGCCACGATTCGTTCGAAAACGTGCGGTTCGAAAAAGATTCTTTTTTTTTTTTCCTTTTTTACTTTCGCGTGAATGATACGATTAAATGGTCCATCTCGGAATTTCCGTGGAATCGGCGTAAAGAGTAGCCGCTGCGAATAAAAGTAGCTACCGGAGCTATCATGGACAGCCATGACGGGGATCTAACTCCGCGTTCGAAGCACGGTGGTTCGCTAATTCTTACATGATCGGATTATTTTCTGTTCCACAAAGATACTCAACAGGAATATCGTATTACGATTTTTCTAGCTTCGTCCGAAGCATCGAATCGAACGCAAAATAACTGATTCGTGGCTTAATTAACGACAGAAACCCATCTCTAATCTCGCTCGATCGGTATAGCAGCGGTTAAATATACGTATACTTGTCTCGCGAGTTGTTTCTCTCTATCTCTCCCTCTCACTCTCTCTTTCTCTCGCGCGCTCGCTCGCTCTTTCCACGTATATACATATGCACACCACACACGCATACATATATGCATATATATACATATTAAATTACTTTATTAATTTTTTTTCTTTACACAATTATTACAATTTATTTACTAGATGATTCGAAACGGTGCGACATGATGATAATAGTAAGACAAAGAAAAGAACAAAAAACTGGTGGTCTCTGTAGTGGTAACGGTGATGAAAATATCAGGCAAACGACGAGTATAGTTGTTCGAAGAGTCAATTATTCATGTTCTCCCTTTCTCTCCGTCTAAATCTCGCTTCTCTCTTCACTTTCTCTCTCTTGTTCTCTCTATTCTCTCTTTCACTTTCACACTCTTGCATACGTCTTTCAGTCACTTCCGCTTTCTCTCTTTACAACAATGCAGCAATATCGTCAATTGCTATCGTTAAAAATTAATCTGCGTATTATACACATATATATACATACACACATATACGTAGTTTAGTCACCTATACGTATGTGTGCGTATATTTATATATATGTACACGTATATATATATACACACACACATGTAAGTATTTATATATATAGACTTTCAGTATTTTACACGGGCTCTTCCCTCGCAATGTTGCTTTCCTACATTCTGCAAATGTCTGTGTAAACGTGTATCTCCGTGTATCATATTGTGGTCGAATTTTTCGGAATAAAAACAAAAAAAAAAGAAAAAGAAAAACGGAACAAAATGGAGAAGTACAGGAATCGATCCATGGGCAATTTGCGCACGGAATACAATTTCATTCGCCTAATTTACCATGGATCCGATTCTCCCGATCGTAAGATAACGATAGCTCGTCCCCCATCTTCCTAGACTATGGCAGCTTTCTATGAATTAGCTTTCTTCCCTCTAACTGCGTTAACACGATGTTCCAAGCACGCAGAATCGCAGAACACGAGAAGGACTGAGTCAGAACTAAATTGGTGGATTTCTTTATTAGTAGAATAATTATGACAATTAACCAACAATCTATACTTCGAGTCGTGCGTGATCTTTTCACGTTCGTTTCTCTCTTTCTTTTTCGTTCTCCCTCATCTCGCTTCCTCCCGCTTCTCACAGTTAGACTCGGGGCCATCCCGCGATTTCTCGTGGGTTTGGAAGTCCTTTTCTCCCTTTTCCCTTTCCTCCTTCAGCGTACAGATATCACGTATTTTCTCCCCTATTTCTCTCCCTTTTCCCCGTTTTCTAGATGTCGATCGACAAAGGAAACGAAGTCGCATCGGGCCAGCTGCGCGTCGCGTGAGCGCATAAATAACGCGAACCACGATGACTAATATTCTCTTTCGATCACAAACGAGAGTTATGCCGCATGTATTATGTATTTCGAGCGCATTAATTCTTGAAGCGTGATCGACAACTCGCCTGATGGTCATTCGAAGTGATCCGTTGCCTCACGACGGCGTAGAAAATAGGAAGGCTTATAAGATATCAAGCGAATGCAGAAATAATGGCGGCTATCGAAACTTTAACGTACTGGCTGCAGGCTGGTGGAGATATTTTTGTTCTTTTTCAGCTTTTATTTCGCAGATCGGAATTTCGTGGAATATGAAAGAAGCGAATCGTTATGTAATCACCGATCTCAGACAGGAATCGAGGTAGTGACCATTATTGTTTGCATCGATAGAATAAATAACAGATTTATGAAGAAATGCTGGAAAGTACCTATATATCGATAAGAGTTCCATGTTCAATACGTATCGTGACGAACGTCCGGGTCTGTTTTCGCTTTTCTTTTGACGCAAGAACGGGGACAAATTATTCTCCGATCGCTAGAACGCGAGGATTACTCTTTTCTTTCTTTATCCGTGAACCGTGTATCAAAAATCGTAATTGCATTTCCGTTCGTTTTGCGTGTTCGGACTAGAGGAGAAACGAAATGGATAAATTTACCTAAGTGCTTAGCAACAAAGTACATTTCACCCAAAGGAAAAAAAAAAAAAAAAATAATCGTCTGTGTTAATCGTTAAAAAACGTAATTTACATCGCATCAACGTTCATAAAAACTCTGAAACGAATGTCTTAGCATCTTCCTTTCTCTCTCATTCTCACTCATTTGCTGCCTCTTTCACTCTGGCTCGCACGCACTCCCTCCCACTGTCTTTCTCTATCTGCTTAGCATCTATCACTCTCTCTCCTCTCGCGCTCTGTCTCTTTCTCTCGCTTTCCCTGTTTTCTTTATCAACGTTCGTCCTTTCTCTAAAAAAGGAACTGAATAAATCATTCGGTATCAACTTTCATCGGCAGCCTCCCTTTTGTGGTTTCTTGCGACGCGACATGATATGTAGAAACGTGCAAAATGACGGCTAAGTCACGCGCGACATGCCCCGAAAGGTCCAGCTGCACAGGGCTTCTTTTCTCTCTTTTCTATTACTATTCTCGAGAATCGGAATTCATCACACAAAACGTACAAATCTCTTCGTACACTTCTCTCACTCATTCTTATCACCGCATAATTTCCCAAGGCTATCATGAGCGAGACAACGATTGTGACCTTGCAGAAGGTTCGACATCTCGATCAAGAAACTCCGAGGCCCCGTATGACTGCGCTTTCTCTCTCACGGGCATATAAAGTATGCATGGTGATGCGCACGAAAGGATAATCTACAATTCGCTTACAAATCTGTTCTTACTTTTGCCTGTCGTTCATACGCCGATACAGAAGAAACGAGAACGTTGGAAACGTTCCTGGAATATTTGACGCGGAAGGAAAATGAAAATGAAAAGAAAAAAAAAAAAATAACAGAAAAAAATAACAGAAATTTTTGTGACCGGTCTATAAAAAGAAAAAAAAAAAAAATCGCTCTCTGCTGCGTAGAGTTTCGTCGCGAAGGATGAAAAAAGGTCGCTCGGTGAAGCCGAGGGTCTGGTAAAACTTGCGACAGAATGTACAACAATAATCGCGTGACGATTAAATCCGTAACGGATCGAGTATTAGAGTTAATTAGCGTCCATTCATTAAATAGAGGATAACGATTCGAATCGTCCAGGCATGGCTGACAATAGGCACGAACGAATGTGTAGTATATGGTGTTTCATATGTATGGTGTTTTACGATGTCGTGTCTGAACAATAGAAACTTCCGTCGCGTTTCGTCGAAAATCTTTAAGGATACACTTTCCTCTTTCGCTGCTAATCGTGCTGGTACATGCAGCATCTCTCGCGTCGCGGAAATTCGTCTTACGATAAATAGAGATTGTGCACGCAAATTACTAGTGTAGGTGTATGTGTGTATGTACGTGTAGGTGTTTGCATGTGTGAGAGTATGGTGTGGTGTTCATTCGTGAGATTCTCCGCGTGAAATTTCCCTATCGCTTGCGAGAACATTGATCGGCGCTCGAATCTTGAACACAATAAAAAATATTCCTACGTGGCACGCGTGTTCTTTAATACAATACAATAATCGTTATAATAATCTTCGTCTCCTTTCCTCCGGTTCGTTGTTACACATACTGGAGGAAGCATCGAACTTCTGGTTGCTCTCACTTGTTCTCCATTTTTTTCTTCACGAAAGCCAAGAGTCTAGCGATCTCTGTTTCTCCTTGAATCACCAAAATTCATCGACACCCGTGTTAAAAAGCTGCTGGTTCCTGTTTCTTTTTTAAATTGCGTATGATCGTGTACCTGTATATGTGTATGTGTGTGTGTATATGTGTTCTCGAATGATGAAATGACGACGACGCAAGCGACGTAAACGCGCTACTACACACAGTGTATGATAGATTACACATCGTTTGTTTTTCCTCAACTAGAAAAAATTCGCGTTCATATTTTTTTGTTGTTTTGTTTCTTTCTTTCTTTGTTTATAGCAATTATCATTTAAAGAGGTTACGGGCCAGTTCCTATAATATATATACATTGAATTCAATTATATTTTTTTTTTGTTTTTTTTTTGTTTTTTTTTTTCTTTTTGGCAATAAGGTGGCAATCAAGCGTTCGCACACGCCACTCAGAATTCAGAGGGTCCTCAAGCGAACCCGTTACAAAGAGGGGAACCATCTTTTAATAATCCTATAATATTTCATCGTTCGTGTTTCAAGCGAACAAAGCTTAAAATACCACACGGTATCGCCATTTGCATCGAGTTCAAAAAATTTACAATCGGGGATTGTGTGTATGTGTATGTATGTTCTTTTGGACATCCTCCTCAGAAGAATATCGGCTTTCGTTCTTTCTTTTCGTTCTTGCTCTACCGTACTTGAATTTTTTTCTTTTTTCGTTTCTTTTAAGGCTAGTTTCTAACACGTGAATTCTCGGGTTTTCTTTCTTCTCTCTTTCTTTCTTTCTTTGTGTTACGTCTGTTCTGTTTAATAACGTTAAAAATAGAAAGCAGCTTAAGCCATTTTCGACTGGCCGGGGTCTGTGTTCTTTGAGGTGGACAGCGTGTTGGTGTTCACGTTATTATCACTAGAATTACCGCTACTCCCCGCGACCGGCTCCGACTGGCCTCCTGGATTCTCCGAAGTTGGCATGCACTTCGGCTTTAGGATCGAGTTCAGAGACGGCTGAATTCGCAGCTCGTACTCTGTAAAGTTAAACAAAGGGGGAAGCTCTCGGCCGGTCGGTAATCGCGTGCCCGGTTCCCGAAGTTCGTCGAAGAAGGGGTGGGCACACGCTTCCAGTGGCGTGATCCGGCCAGATGGCGTGTACTCCAGCAGACCGGCGACCAGCTCCATCGCTTCCGGGGGCGTGCGTGCCCTGAACACCTGCAATCATCGTTCTTTGCTTTTAATCCAATACTTTTATTACAATTTTCATGGTTAATCTGTCGCTACCAAAAAGTCTCGAGACGATCTCGATTTTCACTGTTAATTTCTGTTACTGTACGAAGGTTCGTTAAAGAAGAAAGATTTACTCCTCGGGATCTTTTCTTGCGAGGGGAGACTATAGCAGAGATAACAAATTTCGTACGTTCGAGGTTATGTTGTCCTCGGTGTGCTTCGACACTCTTCTTTTATCTATAGTTGACGACATTTTGCAGGGAACAGAAATTTGCATCGTTTGAACTTTAATTTGTATCGCATAAAGCAAGGTAACCGCGACTGAACAAAATTTGTTACCTCTACTACAGAAAGTCGCACAGCATTACAGACTGAATGAAACCCTATGACAGAAAGCAATAAAAACACGGCAGCAGCACGTTCCGCTTAGAAATTCGTTCGAAGTTTCGTGTTTGATCAGTGTATTACATACGTTACAATAAGTATTAACAGTAATGTTCCAGTGTAAAATTTCGGGTCGAGTCCGACCACTCGAGAGATTCATCGAGACTCATCTCCGCTTGGTATACTCGGTTCTTTATGAACTCCAATAAAACACGTTTATTTAAATCGAATCAAACTTTTTCAGAGGAAAATCCTTTGGCTTATATAATCCATGATCAATAAAAAATAACAAGAGTCATACCAAGAAGATACTCAGGAGGCACAAAAACAAACAGTGGAAAAAACGATAAACTTAGGTCTCACAGATAATAAGTCGGTTTCACAGGCAACCTCTTGTCATTCGTTGTAGTGTATAGAAACAAAGAAAAAAAAGGGAAAACAAAAAAAAGGTACACTAAGTCAAGACGAACAATTGCATACCCCGTTCTCAAGACACTGGAAAATACTATCGTTCACCACCAGAATATTAGAGTAAGTGATACACCGAGACTTTGAACGGATCACGTTACAATTATCGTACCAACGTCAAAATCTCTTTTTCTTTTTAAACGGTTAGTAACATCGTTAGAATGAAAATATGCTCTAAGATGATGATGATGATGATGATGATGATGATGATGGTGATGCTGATGATGATGGTGATGGTGATGGTGATGGTGATGGTGATGGTGATGGTGATGGTGATGGTGATGATGATGAGTATGAGATAGTAAAATGGATATTATACGTGAGTTCGAGAAAAGGTGCACGCCGAGCGATTTGTGATGCAGAGAATCGAAATGAAGGTGGTATTTTTTCATTTGTCGGGGCTCGTTGTCCTCCGTTTGATTTAGCGATAACTGAGCAGTCGTATCCCGCTTATATTTTACCGTTTCAGACGCTGAAAATGTTGGTTACAATGGTTAGTAATATCACGGGCTAGAGAGAAAAAAAAGGAATATTTGCCAGCCAGTAAATTATAAAGAAACATTGCCTTTTCAACAGGGGACCACTTACTCTAATCTTTTGGTGCTCCGTGGAACACTTTAGTCCACTCATTCGTTGAAGCATAAACTGTAACCACGAGTAACCATGTGTTGGTGAATGAGATTAGAGCCGATTCGTGTAGCAAAACCATTCTTTAGTTAGAAGGAACGAAACAGCGGAACAAGACCTTACCCTCAACGGTTCCTTTCATACTATTTTCTTTCTCTTTATCTTTATCATGCAACGTAGCCGCAAATAAGGAACCTTTTGACACAATCATAACGTTTACAGTGTCCCTTACAAGGGATCGAGTGAAGAGTATGCACTGATCTGGATATCGTATCTTCAATTTCGGTATATATAATAATACTCGATGGTTGGAAATAACATTTCATTGGCTATGTCGACACAGTCATTCAGAGTCATCCAAATCGGAGCACACCAGCTCACCGGTTTCCCCCGTTAGTCACGAGAACATCGAACAAATACGCAGGTACAAAATTAGACAAGCTACACGAAGAACCGTCTCGACAGTGCTTTGCGCACAGAGTACATATTGCAACGACTAGGTCAGATGATGGGCTACCTTTTGCCACGGGTGAGCCTTAATTTGAGGGAATTTGAACTCGGTGTAGTTGGGGTTCATCTCACGTATCTGGTCACGCGTCGGTGTGCCGAGCACCTTGATGATCTCGACCAATTGATCCACACCACTGTCTCCGGGGAATATCGGTTGGCCGAGCAACAGTTCTGCCACCACGCACCCTGCGCTCCAAACATCTACAACACGGTGAAACATCTTAATCAGACATTGTCTTCTATTCTTTGTCTTCCCTATTCTCTTCCTATTCTACGCGCAAGGTCGGGTGCTAAGGCACAATAGCCGCATGGCTGTACATCCCTCGACTGTAATACGGTATTATCGGCTAATCTTTTAATCTATATACAACGTAATTACGCAGATAAAGACAGTGAACGGCGATGAGGATCGCGTACCGATTTTTGTGGTGTAATCAATAGCACCAAAGATCAGTTCAGGCGCGCGGTAATAACGACTACAGATGTAAGACACGTTGGGCTCCCCTTTGACCAGGTGTTTAGCAGAGCCAAAATCACAGAGCTTCAGGACGCCGGATTCTGGGTCCAGGAGTAGATTCTGTGGCTTGATGTCCCTGTGGCAGATCCCCAGCGAGTGGATGTACGCCAGAGAGCGGAACAGTTGGTACATGTACAGCTGCAAACACAGAGAGCGTTATTAGAATTACAATCGTTATTAAAACCGTGGTGACTGATGGATTTGGTTCGAGGAAAATTGTTAGTCCAGGCTGCGCGAGTGTTTCTATGAATCATTGCACGTAATTATATGTTAGGTTTAGTGATTTAGCAGTTTGCGACGCGTCATTCTCCAGGATAAAACGAGTTAATATTTGTCAGGAAGGCTCGAGAGACTTACAGACCAGCCAAATAAACGAGTCTCGAAGCTGGTGAAAGACACGTCTTCGCATAAGTTTCCGTTGTTAGACCGTTCGCGTGAGCACGAAAAGACGTAATTTCGCGTGAAATTTCACGGACATTCGCGAATCATTGAGGGACAATGATTACGTGGACTAGTGGGTGAAAGCCGAAAAAGGAGAAATATTAAAAGACACAAAGGCAACGTATTTTTAGCTTACCTTAATGAAATTGATCGGTATGGTCTGCTTGCTTTTGTTATAATGCCGAGCGACTTTATACACAGTTTCAGGTATGTATTCCAGCACGAGGTTCAGATAAACTTCGTCCTTCTAAAAGAAATCCGCAAAAGCGATTGTTAGTACGAATCTACACGATGGACGTGTATGCAAGGTGTGTCGTTTCAAAGGCACACGCGACTCGAAAGCAAATGCCGCGTCTAGCTTGGCTCGTTTTGTCATAGAGATCGGCGAGCATGAATTTTACATGGCGGTTTACGCGTCAGGTACCTTTGAACCGCAAACACGCAAACTTAGATTATTTTCTAGAACTAGCGAAGCTGCGTTAGCTACTACAACTTGAATCAAAAATATGGTCACTCAAGGTTATTAGAATACATTCCACTATCTAAAGCTAGGAGAAAGGGGAAGAAAAAGAAAGTTCCTAAAATTTCTAAAATTAATCTATTCGAAGAAAGAAAAAAGAAAAATGGGAAAAGGAAAAAGAATGGGGGAGGAGAAGGAGAAGGAGAAAACGAAGCTCTACGAACAACCGACACGGTGTGACGTAAATTCGGCCACGTGAGAGATTCGTAGAGGTGGAGGGGGTAGCACTAGGGATGACTCGCGGTGGGGGAAGCGGCCTTGAGCAACGACGATCTTTGACTCATGGTATAGACATCGGATTTAGTGTTCTACGTTATTCGCGACAGACTGAGACAACAAAACGGGTATCGTTCTTATCGTTAATCTCTCTATGTGTAAGCGGAACTGCCTAGGTTCTGTCAAAAGAAGGATCTCTCCGTCAAAACTACTGAGTACTCGCTTGTTCACTTACGTCCACATGAAAAACTGGATTAGTTGCGTTTAAGATGTTCTACAAAATAACACAACAACGTCGCATGCATTAAACTAACAACGAATACTCGGCGTTGGTTTAAAGACTTGTGTATCATTCGAAAGAAATCAGAAGTATCGCTACTATCGTGAACGGATCGAAGAAGAAAAATAAGAAAATAAAAAAAAAAGAAAGAAATTAAAAATAATAATAATAAAAAAAAAGGAGACAAATAAAAATGCAGGGAAATTAAGTCACGGAACGGAAAGACGTCCGAGTAAAAGTTCTTACGAGCTAGATCGTACGTTCCAAATTTCAATCGAGTGTACGGAAGATGGCGGACGAGTATGCAACGAATAGTTACCTTATCACCGCTGGAGTAGAAGAAGTATTTCAGTTCCACGATGTTGCAGTGCTCGAGATGCCGCATGATTTGTAGCTCTCTGTTCTATAAATAAAAGGAAAGGGAAATCCGATTAATCGCAGCCAGTGGCTGGTACATTTCGTCGCGACCACGACGTTCCCTTATCTTTAATTAGAATCGCCGCGAGCGCGTTTGTTGTTGCGTACTCGAGATTTAATACGCAGATTAAGGTCGCGGATTATCGTTTTTCAAACATCGCGCGGGATAAATCTGACTCTATAGGCTCGGCTGAGAAACCGAGCGAACCGAAAACTTTTCAAACCTTCCACGCTGATTTCCGCGCGGATCCTCCTGTCGTCTCCATCTTGCCCGCTCCGTTTCCACGGCTATCAATCAGAGATAAAAACGACAGAAGGTTAGCGAGGAGTTGGCAGACGTATTCCGGGGTTAAAAAATGAAAATATCCTTTTAAGTATAGGCTTGTCCTCGCAGACCCTTTGTTTCTGAATCAGAGCTACCTCGAGTCGCAGGATTACTATAATACTCGCCGGACAGCGATCCCTAGTTTTAATCGAAGCCTACGTTCGCTTCGGGGAGAAAAAGGACCCGCGTGTTCTATCCAGACCTTCGTCTCCCAGCACTATAATTTCTGCTAATTTCGTACCCGAGTAAGATACAAAGTGGTCGATCTGATCGTTAAGTTCAGACCTGAACCACGACTAGCTGCTCGGCCATTCCGAGTCAGACGTCATTCCGTAATCCCGAGTGGCTCTGTGCACGGAAACCGAGAGTCTGCGAATTCCTAGCTTTCTGCAAACTTTCTGCAGTGTTTTAAATTTAATTTTCAATCGACCAAAATACTTCGTTTTGTCAGACGTACCTTTTAATTGTCAAATGTCTACGAGAAATTTATATGGAGGACTCGAATTCGATTATCCCTTTGCACTCGTGAGGCGACCCTCGATCGCCATTTAATCAGATTCTAAAAATTGTTAATTAATATATCATATTTAAAATTACTCAACTATGCGTGGGATATCGAAATAAAATAATTCTACGTCTTAATTGTATATTTCCTATTCACCGTTTTAAAAATATCGTCGACTTCGAATTACTATTTTTCTGGAACGAAAAGATCGCCGAGTGCAAAGGGTTAAGAATTAAACCAGATAAATAATTTCTATAAACATGGCATAAAAATTAAAAATGACCCAGTGCTATTCTACGTGCGAAGAATCTTGCAACAACGTCGTTAAATCTCGATAAATCGATTAATTTAGGTTAAACTAGGAAATGATAATTTCTTGAGAACGAGACGAATCGCGAGAGGACTTTGGAATATTTTTAATGATCAGCTTGGAAAATAAGATCGAATTTCTTTCGTCGGATTCTCAAGAAAGTGTGAAGAAAGGTGATGAATTTTTGGATCTGGAAGATTCGTTACCTTAAATCGTTTGTCTTGAAGAACCTTCTTGATGGCGACCAGTTCTTCCGTGTCGCAGAGTTTCGCCAGGTACACAACGCCGAAGCTGCCGTTACCGATTACTTTAGTGTCTGTGTAGGAGATCTCTTGGGGACGATCCGGACCAGCACCGGCTGTAGCCACCACGGTTGTGACTTTGTTGCCATCTCTATCTGCATTATACATCACACCGCCCATAGAAACAATCGAAAACCAGAATGGTAAAGTACAAGTAGAAAGCGAGAGGGTATAGTAAGGACCATAAACGGAAAAGTTCATCGATATTACGAAGCCGGATGGGCTGGCTTGATCCGTCGTGTCCGATGATTTTTCAGTTTTTTCCACCTTTTTTTCTCCTAAACACTCGATAAGATAGACGCGATTGCTTAATAATCAGTAGACCAAACGTGCGAACAGCTAGAAGATTCGAAAAGGCTCTTGACAGTCGACAGAGATTACTCGCGGTTGTATAACATTTACGTTCGCGTAGTCGCGTGAAAAGATATGTACGAATAGAGTAAATAGAAAGAAAAAAAGGAAAAAGAAAAAAAAGAAATAAATTCGCTTTGGCTGATGCCAAAATTTTGCTTCTTTTCGCACGGAACCTAGATCCTGCAAGACCGAGCGATAATCACGAAGGATCGCGAAAAATTGCGAAGGATCACGAAAAATTGCGAGGATCGCGAATTGCTTCTTTTCGCAAGGAACCTAGATCGTGTCGGACCGAACGATAACCGCGAAAGATCGTGAAAAATCGTGAGGGATTGCGAAAAATAGTAAAGGATCGCGAAAAATTTCGAGGATCGCGAATTGCTTCTTTTCGCAAGGAACCTAGATCGTGTCGGACCGAACGATAACCGCGAAAGATCGTGAAAAATCGTGAGGGATTGCGAAAAATAGTAAAGGATCGCGAAAAATTTCGAGGATCGCGAATTGCTTCTTTTCGCAAGGAACCTAGATCGTGTCGGACCGAACGATAACCGCGAAAGATCGTGAAAAATCGTGAGGGATTGCGAAAAATAGTAAAGGATCGCGAAAAATTTCGAGGATCGCGAATTGCTTCTTTTCGCAAGGAACCTAGATCGTGTCGGACCGAACGATAACCGCGAAAGATCGTGAAAAATCGTGAGGGATTGCGAAAAATCGTAAAGGATCGCGAAAAATTTCGAGGATCGCGAATTGCTTCTTTTCGCAAGGAACCTAGATCGTGTCGGACCGAACGATAACCGCGAAAGATCGTGAAAAATCGTGAGGGATTGCGAAAAATCGTAAAGGATCGCGAAAAATTTCGAGGATCGCGAATTGCTTCTTTTCGCAAGGAACCTAGATCGTGTCGGACCGAACGATAACCGCGAAAGATCGTGAAAAATCGTGAGGGATTGCGAAAAATCGTAAAGGATCGCGAAAAATTTCGAGGATCGCGAATTGCTTCTTTTCGCAAGGAACCTAGATCGTGTCGGACCGAACGATAACCGCGAAAGATCGTGAAAAATCGTGAGGGATTGCGAAAAATCGTAAAGGATCGCGAAAAATTGTAAAGGATCGCGAAAAATCATAAAGGATCGCGAAAAATTTCGAGGATCGCGAATTGCTTCTTTTCGTAAGGAACCTAGACCGTATCGGGTCCAGCGATAACCGCGAAGGATCGCGAAAAATCGTGAAGGATCGCGAAAAATTGTGAAGGATTGCAAAAATTTGCGAAGATCGCGAAAAATCGTAAAGGATTGCGAAAAATTGTAAAGGATCGCGAAAAATCGGAAAGGATCGCGAAAAATTGTAAAGGATCGCGAAAAATTTCAAGGATCGCGAATTGCTTCTTTTTGCAAGGAACCTAGATCGTATCGGGCCCAGCGATAACCGCGAAGGATCGCGGAAAATCGCAAAGGGTCGTGAAGGATTGCAAAAAACCGCGAAAAATCGTAAATCGCAAAAATCCATTTTCGCGGAAAGATTCCTAGACTTCGTTGGATTATTTCGACCGCGTCGATTTGTTTTCGAATCGAACGGCGTCTTCCGCGACCACAAACTCGAAGACGATCCCGCGGACGATCGGCGCAGCGAAATCAGACGCGAAGGAATTTGCAACGCGACGCGGTGGCGATCGAAGTTGCATACAAAACGGAAATAGCACGCGTGAAAATAGCGCGACGAAGCGGAAATAGAACGATCGTTTGTTCGCTTTTATTGCGGAAAAGTCGCGATCCAGGCCGACCACTCGTCTCTTCGCCGATCTTCCGCCGCTTTCCCGCGCGTTTTCGCGCTCTTATCTCGTCGCTGCTTATCTACGACATCTGCGCCAGATAACCGGGCGCCGTTTTATCTGGCCAGCGGGAGTTGACGCAATGAGCGTTGAAAATAACGAAAGGCAACAGAAAACTGGATTACGTGAAAATAATAAGTAAAGATAAAAGACACGTACAGAGAGATACGCGTCGATGATTACGAGAGTGGCCCAAGTCGTTTTAGTTCGACATGTCCAGCATTTTGCATTTTAATGGACGATTTCCGAGAATAATTACAACCCAAGTATTGTTTTTTTATAATTCTCCAGGACAAATGGACGTAATGCGAAACGGGTGAAAGATATATTTCTTCTGAATTTTTTACTTAGACCACTTTCGTAATTACCGGGGCACGAACGTGTGTAGAGACAGCAGTGTGTGACAGAGCTATGAAGCACGAGTATTTATGAAACATTTAGATCGTTTCCCATTTCAGAAAGATTCGCTGTTCAAGGTCGTCAAGGGTAGTTCCTCCGCGCGGTTATCGAGAATTCCGAATATAAAAGGAGATAATAATTTAAAAATGACCTGCATATCTTAATAACGATGTTAAATCAGTAATAAAATCGTACGATACGTGTAACGATCCATTTCGTCTCGTTACACCCTTCTTGTCTAATTTATTTTGGCGAAAAGAAGCCCGTGTGACCTTGAAACCCTGAAGAGTACTGCAAGATATCCGATAGAAGCCGAGGTTATCGTAGTATCTTCTGGTTCATGAGATGATAAAAAAAAGACTACTGAAAGAAGCCTGGCGATTTGTAGCACAAAGGGAAGTTGTAGGTCAGCTAACGAAGAAACAAGAATAGGAGTAGGATAAAATCAATGTTCCCCTGACATTATATTCAAACGACATCCTACATTCCTCTAACATCGCAACATCGTTCACAAATCTACGAAAATCGGCACGAAAATTCTTCAAATATCGAGGCTTCCTCTACGTCAAATTTTTCTATACCAAATTTTCAAAAATATCGAACTCACAGCTATAAAACACCTCGAGGAACGTTCCAGGGAAAACGCTAGTTAAATTCTTCCAGCGATTTTACAGCAATCAATTCGATATTTTTAAAAATCGAAACCCAGTAATATCAAGAATCGAGGTATTTATCAGAAAATAGGTATACACGTCAAAATTTAATTCGAAAATTTTCATTGGCCCATAGACTATTCGATATAACGTAATAAAACATGAAACGAAAATTAATTTTGTTTCCAAGGCTATGGTACCCTATCCTAAATTACCAAATTCACGAATAATCGAAAAATCGGTAACTTATCACGAATTACAATTGATTGTACACTAAACGAAAATTAATTTTGTTTCCAAGGCTATAGTAGCCTATCTTAAATTACCAAATTCAGGAATAATCGAAAAATCGTTAACTTATCATGGATCACAATTGATTTTACACTAAACCTACCACAACTTGTCACACGACCAACGAATATAGAAATGAAATAAAATATAATAAAAAAAGAAAAAGAAAATAAGAGATGGTGAAAAATTGATAAAGAAGCAGCGACCAAAGTAGCGAAATCCAATTTTTAGTCAAAGATTCGAAAACGATCGTTTAGGTTAGGACAGGACTATGGAGGATTGATTTAGATCGAGGGATCGATCGAGGATCGATTCGTCTTTCTGTCGCATGGTCGTGGTAGAGGGGAAAGAGGAGTCGAGACGTCGTTATAGTTTACACAGCTCATTTCTTAGACGCGATTCTATTCTATTGCTCGATGGCGGCTGGCGCGAGAGGATAACCTTGATAAGATGCGACGTAGGATAATGCGGGGTCCGCGTTTGCGGACCGGTTTTCTCATTGAACCGCGGCTGAAAATAACCTCGCGCCGCATAATTCAGCCGTTTAACGCGATCGGGACCGAAAATTCGCTGAGCAAAACCCGTGGGATGTCTCGCGATCGCGTTTACCATCGTCGGATGAATCGAAACGGGCGCAGCCAACGATAAGTTGCCACGTGGACCATGCTTTACTTCCTGACATTTCGTCGACATCTTTCCTCGCGGTTAACCTAGCCCTCTTCCGTGTCGGTACCTTCCTCTCCTTTTTCCCAATTTCTTTCCAAGTTTCGATTCGGAGCAACGTGAACGCGTGTTGGATCGCACTGTGCCAGTCTTTTCTTTCGCGTATTCTTTTCTTCACCGATATCTGCAGGTAGTTTCACGATGAATGGAGACGCGAGGGGATTTCGTTGGACAGTTTCAGGTCGAACAATGTCTGGTTACTTCACGAGGACCCTAATCTCTTCGACAGTAGAGACCATATTTAAAATTTTTTAATTTAAATTCAAAAATGACGACCTTGTTAAATAATAAAAATTGCGATGTATTTTAAAATATATTTTCGAATGAGAATATTTAAAAAACAATTTATGGTTATTGACACAAGGATTGGTGAAAGATAGTTAAAGGAAACTGTAATAAAAAGTTGATCCGAGACTGGTTCTAGTTTCTATTGACACTTTGGATACTGCAAATCTTTATTTCGAGATCGCAATCTCGAATTGAAAGAAAATTCTTACCCCTCTCTCGCCTCGAAATGTGACAAACGCCTAATTAAACCGTGAAGTTTCGTTCCTCGAACAAGTGGATCGAAGAGTGCCAAGTTTACCAAGTGCGAATATTACTAACGCTCGAAAATAGCGCCCTCATCAATCAAAATCCCGATCTATGCCCTCCAACTGTCCATCAGGAGTACAATTGCACTAGAAAACCTTATCAAGCGTATCGAACGAATCGATTACAGAGAAGAAGGTGGACAATCTTACTCAAAGAACCTACAGAGAAAATGAAACGAGAGTATCGTTCCTCGCGTCGCAGCGATAAAATCGCGCGAAGACGGTGAGGCAAGCACAACTCCCTAGCGTCTGGGGATCCCTAGGGACACGCGGATGGCGCGAAAGTGGGTCAAGCGACGGCGATCTCTGGCAAAAGCGTCGGTTGGATCGGAGCCGGCTAAATCCAGCGTGCGGCAAAAAGTGCAACCAAGGATCCGGATGCACGTCAGCCTCCCTTTTGCCGCGTTACGCGCATCAGAGGATTCGCGACCTTTTTCCCGGCAATTGCAACCGTGTGACATTTTGCGGCCAACCAGACGATGCACAGGCTCCGGTTCAACGGTCCATCGTTCAAAGCGATTGCAGGATCATGGGGTAGAATAATCGCGTCTTCTTTGAGACGGAGATTCACCACGATGGACAGATGGAGTTCGTGGGTGTTGCCGATCGAAAAAAGCGCGAAACAGTGAACCGAGTAGCCTCGCCACGCAAAAAGCTGCCAATTTTGAGACCTGCTCTGAGTCATTCGCGCTCAAACGTTTCCAGGCTCGTTTTCAACAACCTGTCTGTAATTTTGAGACTAGAGATTAAATTATGAGACCTATTTCGAGGCATTGGCGCACAAATTTTTTGAGACCTATTTCGAGGCATCCGAGGGTCGAATATTTTTAGGCCTATTTTGAGCCGCGTAGGCGTTCGAGCTTTTTGAGATTTATTCCAAGACACTCGCGCTGAAATATTTTGAGGATTGTTTTGAGCGGGTTGTTTATGTACTTATGTACGCCGAGGCGACCAAACTCTGAGACCTATTTTCAGCCATACCTGTTCGAAACTGTAGAGGTTTATTCTGAGCATCCCCGCCCAAATTTTTCGGAATTTATTTCCAGCGTTTTGCTTAAACCCCCTGGGACCTAATTCGATCATTTTCATTGGAACATTTTGGAGTCTATCACGAATCTTTTGGAGCCGACTTTGAGCACTTTCAATTAATTTTCTGACGTCTAACGTGAGCAATTTTACTTTCTATGAATTCTTCTACTCAAACTTTTGAAGACCTTTTTAAACTTCGTTCATAGACTATGCAGCCTAATTAGAGCTAAGGGTGTTCGATCTTTTTCAGTCATTTTAAGCCAATATCCAAGATGATGTGCAAAGTACGAGTAATATGGGGCTCGCGAAATTAACACTGCAAACTTGCAAACACACCTTGAAACGTAAACATCGTAGCATTAGCACGACAAGCTGATTCGAAAGCTGCACTTTACCTACAGACTTCGATTTCTTATCGCGTCAAGGACGATTTAGAAGTCAGAACCAGCAGCGCAATTTGCAATCTTGCAAAATCGGATTTGCACGCGAAACGCGAGTTTCTGCGAGTTTAGATACACAGCCGGTTCTCGGTAGCTGTATAATATTTAAATGGCATTAAGGAACACTTTCGCAACAAGTATTGTCTCCCCTGCGAAGGATGTGTTACGCGTTTGGATCGACTCCTCGCCGGCTCAACGTTTTGTCGCGACTTCTGTCGACTATATAAATATTTTAAGGGCTATATCGAACGTCATCGACGTGACTCTTGCGCAAACTTGCAACTTTAAAGCGACCACCTAACTCCCACCAGCAACGGTACCCTGCAACGTAAAGGATGATAGCTTTACCCTAGCATTTCCAATTATTCTACGAATATTTAAATATAACTCAACGAATTAGGAACGTGATTTTACAGGAAATTAAATTTAAAAGAATCTTCCGTATTTCTACCATACGTAAATCGATCGATGATTTATCATTTTCCGACAGAAATCTCCAAGATATTTCAATAAATTTAAAATTAATTTATTTTACCTTTCATCACTGTGTATTTCAAAATATTGTTTGGCAAACGCGTTCACTGCCACCATATAATGTTTATTATTCTCAGGATGTAACGAATCATCAAACAATTAAATTCAAACGAAAAGTAAAAATAGCACACTGTGTATTTCTCAATTTATTAGTCGGAATTTTCAAGAAAATGATTGAAGCAAACGTGAGCTCAAAAAATTAGTACCACCAGTCACCTGTGACCATCCTCGACGTGTTAATTATTCGATAAATATTCTCGTGACGAAATTCAGCTACCCCCACCAGCAAGAGTTCTCCAGGTAAGGGGTGAAAGTAGCTTTATCTTCCTCAATTTCATAACGATTCAAGAATGAAAGAAAATAATTTAGCAATACGATTTTACGTGAAATTAATTTCGAAAAAATCTCTCATATATCCATTGAGGACAGTGACTAATGAAATAACGAACGATTCGTAATTTTCAACGAGAAAGTACAAAGGTATAGGAAAACTCGTGGGACGAAGCGGAGATTTGAATAGGCGAGCAGGCTGAGAACCCCTGCCACGTGGCGAGGGTATAAAGGATTGATCGGGTGTACGCATCGAGCATATCGGTGTACAAATTTAAATCTCTTCGCCATTTTTGCTTCTTCTCCCGGCTTCTTTTCCTTTTCTTATCGGCGCATGTCAAGCCGACGCGGCGTGCTCTCGTATGAAAAAATAATTTACGTGGGTCGATGCGCATAACAAAAATAAATATGAATAACAAGGGATAAATGTCAGTGGGTCGGTGTATTACTTCTCGTCGAACAGTTCTTCTTTCTTTGCTCATCTGTCTCGCGTTTCTAACCTTTCCCGCTCAAATGGCAGCCGCTTTGTAAAAGCGCGACCGAATGTTTTGTTTAATAAACAAGTCTCTAAATGTCTTGAAGCAACACGAGCCACCTATTTTCCCATTTTTCTTCCATTAATTTTAACCTTGCTCGCCACGGTTTCTCGATAAAATGAGAATTAATAGATCGGAACCTTTGCATCCTGTATATATCTCTCTCCTTTAGAAAGGTTAGCCTGATGCACACAGCTAAACGCTGCAGCGAGCACCGAAAATTTCCATCGAACATCGATCTCTTCCTGATACACGACGAATTAATCGAAACAAATACGAGATAAGTCTGGGAGTGTTAGATAAGATGCATCCCCGAGCCGTGGAAAGTCGAAAATAACACGGGGTACTCGCGTCGTGGCGTATGACATGTTCGAAAAGCAAGAATAATCCACTAGGTGTTGAATAATTTAACGATAATGCCCGGGTTCATTATACTTTAAAATATTCCGAGTACGGTGTACAAGTCGAGATTAAAAAGCAGTCAAACTCGGTGGAAACAGTGAATACATTACGCCTACGGGCCTGCGCGTCGAAGTCGGTGATCAATGACGATTTCAAGGGTAATTAGCAGATCCGAGAAAAGTCCGAGGTAAAGCTAATGGAATAACAACCACCGTGAAGTATAAATCGAAAAAATCCTTTTAAACCGTTCTTCCATCCAAAGACAACGCTGTTACAGACATCGAACACCTCGTCTATGCGAAAGTTAGGTCCACGTTGTCAGGAACAAATTAAGAGAAAAACCACGAAGCCATGAGAAGGAAGAAAAGGGGAAGAAATCGAAAGTGTTCTCTTCACCAGGACGGAATTTCACGGGAAATATTATTCCGCCGTTCTCACGCCGTACCCTAACAGAGCAGGGCCGAACTCTGGCCGGAACAACGATCGTCTTGCATCCTCCAGACGGGCAACTTACGTTTCTTGTTCTTCAGCCGGCGCAGGAACTTGCAGAACTTTTTGTACGCGGTGTTCGCCTCCTTGCTGCTCAGTTCCATCGCGCTCTTCGCCCTTTCATGCTTCTGCTGCCCGGCCGGGCAGAATTTCGGATAGCGCCAGTGCTGGCATGGCTCGGACCAGTCCAACGTGGCAGCGGGTGCCATTATAATTCCTCCTTAAATGTCCGCGTAACTGAAGCACCGGGAAAATAGCGTGGCAGGCTATATCACGCTTCGCTATGCAGTCCACGTCGATTCGACGACACTTTAATGTCTCTCTGGCTTAGCTGGGCTCCCCAGCGTGACGAGACCTGTCTAGCCTCCCTGGTCGTCTGCTTTACAAATATTCTCAGATTCCGAGACTACTTGGAAGGTCACCAGCTACTAATATTAACACCGTGTCAAGGACCACGGCGCGGGTCATCGTTGTGCCGAATTCGCCATTCTTCCAGCCGGTCTCTCTGTCCGATTCTAGCATTCTACGGATCGGCCACTCGACGGGACAGGTGATCCGTAACGATTCACGCGATCGTCATTCGACACACGGAAACGCCGTCGAAACGCACGGGCCCACGCACACCGGTCGTACGCGGATTCCCGCGTGCCACGAATCGCCAATAACTCGCCACAGGCCGCGATTTTAGCTTACGTGCCGCGACCACGATCCCAGCATTGTTCCAACCGATCCGTGGGACAGGTGGACAAGGTTCAAGAATGACCAGCCTTTCCAGCGATACAGTCGGACTACGTAACGATTGAAAATCGGTAATACGGATCGACGAGTGTCCGTTGGAATCCTGAGAGTTGTCTAATCCTTGGGCTTGTCTTGTTTACACTCGTTGGTGATTATCAACAGACAGGACGCTTTTGAAGTTCGTAACAGCCGGATCTCGTTGGGTAGCCTACGATCTAGGCTGGTTCTGGCCACTTTCGGGTACTTAATTGTTTCGTGGAACAGGTTTTCGTCAAGCTGTCGCGGAAGACCGGAGTAGTGCGAGTTTGCGATAGTTCGAGTCGATGATTTCACTCGTTTCGAGGTTATTATTGCAGAGAAACGATCTCCTTGTCGAAGGGTTAGCGTAAAATTACAGGAGCACACTGTGGAGGAAGCGTGGACTAAGTACGAGGTACACTGCGTAGCACGGAACACTGTAAAACTGTCGATAGCTTGGAGGAAGTTTGGATGACGACACACGCAAGTTTGACTCGCGGGTGGAGCAATTTCTCGGCAATTCCGGCGACGACCGAGTTTGTACTGGAGTACGACCGGGCAAGAGGAAGCGCTCGCGAGGCGAGATTCGCGTGATTAATCGCGGTGCGTTTCGAGGTTGGTGAAACGGACTCGTTTTACGTGCCGAAATCACGCGACGTGTACACCAAGACCCAGGCGATTGTGTCCCGCTGCGTGTCGCCCGCGTTCCACGTAGCCAGCTTGTCAGAAACGTTCTCGTTCCACGGCGTCTCGGCACGCGACTAAACCGAACGCGCCGCCAATCGCCATTACCCGCGGAATCGAAGGAGTGGGGATGCGCCGAGTGCCGCGGAGTGGGGAGCGAGCGTTATACCGTGAGCACGCCAGCCGCGAAAGCAAGCGACGAACGGTGCCCGCTTTTCTGCCTTCTTTTTCCATCTTTCTCCCCTTCTTCCCCCATCTTCTTCCACGAACACCATGCTATTTTTTATGCTTTTTTAGCCGGAGTTTAGGTTGAGTTGCTCGATCTTCCAGATCGAGGCTGAGCCGAGTAGTCTTTCGGATCGAGGTTACGCCGAGTGGTGTCTTTTGGATCGAGGTTAGGTCGAGCATTGTCTATGAAGTTGAGGTTAGATTGACTCTGGCTCGAGTGTTTTGTCTTGCGGATCGTGTTTGCCGAGAGTAACTGTCTTTCCAGTTTAATTTGGCTAGTGTATTACTCTTTAGATCGAGGTTAGGTCGAGCATCGTCGAGGAAGTCGAGTTTGAATTTAGTTCAGGCGGAGTGTTTTGTCCCGGCAGAGTTTTCCGGATTATTTTTCCAGTTTAATTTAGATAATGTAACGCTTCTCGGATCGAGGTTAGGTCAAGTATCGCCTTTTAGGTTAAGTTTGGACCGGGCTGGGCCGAGTGTTGTCATTTAGGTTGCTTTTTCCTTTGAGATGCTTAACGAGACGGTTGATATCGTTAGATCTGGGAGCTTTTACCGTTTCCTTCCACTGATTCAGCTAATTTCGAGTTTTATTCGTGCCCGTACACCGCGTTTCGTATTTCCTTCGCGTCTCCCTCGAGGATTGGGTAATTTCGTTTCTAACGTAACGGACTTGCAATTGCAACGCGGTGTACTCGGCCCGCGTGGTTTTGCGTTACAACGGAAAAACCCCGAGTACCGTTGAAGTACAGGGTATCGAAAAGATCCTTTCATTTCTCGTTTCGTCATCGCGAGATTTGGTCGGAAATCCATTGTGTGCAGATAAGATAATTAAAGCCTGCAATTAAGCAGATTAGATAATCAACATCGAGCCTGCCGTCCTCTAAACAATCAAATCCAGAAAATCAGTCCAATGCTACTCGGAACATTTACGTGGTAATCATCGAAATTACCCAGGCCCGAGTGTTCCAGGACTCTCGTCTATTCGTAGCCTAATTACCGCTGCACATTGACCCATATTTCTTTAACGAGTCTTACACGACGAAGCCTTGCAAGCACGCAAAAAGGATTAAGACGGATTCCATGTTCGTCCATTAATGATCGTCTCGGGCAGAGAATCGTGGACCCGAGAGCTGGGACAGAGGGCTCGAGACGGATCTTGGAGCAGCAAAGTGGTCAGAAATATATTTCATTCGCGTGCTGCAATAAACTCGACGCTGCTAACGCGCGACACCAGAGGATTATTCATGATAAAATCTATTTATAGTAGATCGTGTCGTCAATGACGGACGGTACGTCGGATTAAGTAGAACGTGCCAGTTTTGCAAAGTAGAATTTCGCGGCTGACTAGCGTGGCGCGAGTCGCCGCTGCTGCCGCCATTTTTTCGTTCATTTGAACATCTTCGTGAACCAACTATCGAACAATACAACGATCACGTTAGCTTGAAATCGAAGCGAAGATACGAAGTAACCTGCTATCTATCGGAAGAAGCACTCCATATTCTCAACCTTGAAGAACTATATCCACGCATGCTCGGAACTACACGCTCGGAGATGGAATAATTCATTTGGAGACCTGTTCGATTAATTTAAGATCCCCATAAAATCCCAATTTCTTCTCGCGATCTTTAAATATAGGGGTCGTTAATCGGATTTCTAGGTACCCCGGGGGTCGTAGACAGGTTCGTAAACTCTGAACCGCGGCGCGGATAAACATCGAGTGAAGGGAAGAGGAAAGAAAAATGGACGGGAATAGCCTTCGACTTTTTACCGCGACTTCTTCGAACGCGACATTGTGAAAAGCCCGAGCTACACAATTGCCGGAGGAAACCGGAGCGACAAACAGCCGGCGAAGGCGACCAGATAGCTCGAGGAGCGAGATAGCGAGCTGAAAAATTTCGTCGTCAGGTACACGATCCGTCTGTTTACCCGTGGTATTTCTCGAAAGCGAAACCGTTCGCCGTGGTGGGGGTGAAAAAATAGAGCGAGTGGCGAGAGTTGCGCGGGAGACGAGGCGTAATCGGTCAGAGGTCGCGGCAGCTATCGCTATTTTGGAGCGTGGCGATCGGCTTTATCCGCGGTTTCACCTCGAACGCGAACGTTTTAGTTCCTCGATCGCGCTATTAATAGAGGCCGTGCTCCATTTAAATCGTTTCGTATCGCGATCGCCGCGCGAAAGTCCGCGTTTCCGCGCCGATATCGCGCCGGAACGCGCCGCGAGTTCGGTTCACCGACGATCTTCACTCGCGCGCCAGTCGCCACCAGTTTTATCTGATAAGCCAACCGTGTACTTTATTTATCTATTCGTCTGTTTACGAAATTCCTTCATATTGGATCCGGAAAGTTCGAAAATTCAGATACGGCCATGATCCACGATCCGCGTGGAACAATAACGCGCGTATAAGGCGAGTGTGTTGTCATGGCTGTCGCCTGTTATTGTCATTGACTTATTAATTCCGTGAAAGACGCGTGATTCAAGAATCGGTGTGGTATACGCTAGACTACCGGATAACGCTTCCATCAAGTAAATTTTAATGCCTCGAACGTTACACGCTGGAATGACTGTCGTTATGTTAATTTCTTTTTTCTACATCTCGCACACGAGGACAGGTTTTTCTTTCAAACGTGCTCGTTATTTATTCAAGAGATAACAAACGAAACTTTTCGTTTCGCGTAAATTCGACGCGAGAAGTAATTTAACAAATTCATCGCGTAGATTTAAATAGCTAAACGGGCAGTGGAAAATAGTTATACATGGATCGGGTTATGCAGGAGTCTATTGTATTCTAATGTAGGACGAGGATCTAGACACTGCCGATTCTAAACGGGACAGAACAAAAGACGATTATGATAAAGTGGGCCTCGATTTGCGTGTTATTAGAAAATTCGAAATTATTCGAATGAAATTGGATTATCGTGACCAGCACTTGGTCCTGTTTAAAGCGAAACGTGTCGAGGCGGTCATTTCGAGAGCGGGGATTCGGTGCATCTTTAGTACCTGTAAAGACGCGGAGGAAGTGACACGATGTCGATGTCGGAGGCACCGTCAGTCGTAAAAAGCTGTTAGTATAAGAAGTAATAAAACGTTTAGTGTCGGAGCGGCAGGAAACTGCGCTATAAAAATAGCGATACTTTAATGCAGTCGTTAACGTCGGCGCGTTAATGGAGTTGGCCCGCGAGACGGATAGACTGCCGATCGGCTTTATCGGTTAATCTGCGAATTCGCCGGTCCGGGATCGCAGATACAGAGATAACGAAGCTCGCGAACGTGCAAGGAACGGAAACAAATTTCCACGGAAGTCGAACCTGTTATCTCAATTCCTGCATGAATGGCTTCCTCGGATCCCGAGCGGATTCCGGCAACATTTCATGCCTGTTCGTATAATATATCGAACAAGTTCTCGATAATATGCGAAACGTAGAATCCTCCGCGAGAAACGAGTGGCAAGGGAAAGATGCTGCGTCATCGGGATGAATTCTTATTTCGAACGAATTAGTTATGCAAAATAGTTAAAACGATTATCTAGTAGGATGACCTCTCGCGAGTGTTCCCGCGGTCGTCCACCATCTTGGCGTGATCAGCGCCATTTGCCCGCGACTGTGCGCCACCAACATGGCCGCCGCTCGAGTTAGCACCGAGACGTTCCGTGGACGTTCCAAAAACCGACGTAAATCGTTTGGGGAACAGCGAAGTCGCGGGTGCGTCGATATATCGCTGGTGTTTAAACGCTGGTTAGAGTGTCCGCTATATTTAGCTTTAATAAGCAGATAACAGGCTCGCAACAGCACAGGAATCGCACGTGAGACCTGCGAGCTGCACTGCAAATACCGTGATGGCTTTGAAAAAACAATTTTGCCTCCGTGCAGCAGATGGACGTTAAATATATCTTCGTGACATCGATTTCCTAATCGCGAAGAAATAAAAAAAAAAGGAGAGAAAAAAGTAAAAGTAAAAAAAAGCGAGCAGAAAAATTGAGACAAAAAGAGGGAATAAAAAGACGACCTGGATACGTGTGTCTTTTTCGTGGATAGCCCACAGCTACCGGGTGTCCTTGTTACCTTATTTCGACGATTTGGATGCTAATGGGGCACCCGTGTGGCTGAGTTTTCGATAACGAAAGTGTACAGCTCGCTCGAGGACCCGAGGCTCACTTTCGTGACCAACAATGTGGACAGCTGATGAGGCTGCTTTAACCATGCTACCTGAATATCGATGAACCGTTTCGTGAAAGTTCTCGCCGTGGAAATTTATTTGTTTATCGCCCGTGAACCGAAATCCTCCTCCGATTTCAAGTGGAATAAAGTATGATAGAGTATAACAAAGTGCGCGCGTATTTTCTCGTGGAAATACTCTTCCTTGGAAGCTTCAGAAGTTCCTTGCTTCCATTTCCTTTCATCCCTCGTCGCGCTATCTTTCGTTCGCGAGGCAACTGTCACGCTTCTCCGAACGACCTCTCTCTCTCTCTCTCTTTCTCTCTCGTCTTTTTCTCGATTTCAGAATTCCCTTTGAGAGGAACAACAAAGAGAAACAAACAAGCAACGAACGGCCGCGTGATTAATTTTCGATGAAGCTCGCGCTCCGCGATAACGAACCCGTTCTTTAGAATTGCCGGTTTATTCGCGGTAAGTGTGTCGAAAGCCGGAGTTTAAAGCTTCGGGGCGAACAAACTGGACGATTTATAGCCGCGAGCCTGAAAGAAGTAAAGCAAATTCACCGTCTATAGCACCTACGGAGAGGCCGATGACACCAGAACAAAACGGGAATTTATAACTAACATAGAGGCCGGCAATCGCGCTAAGAAACCACAGTCTGTGTATCACTTACTGGGGCCGCCATTAAAAGCTCGAACGAGTTTCAAGATC